TAAATTTGTCAATGAATAATTCATGGGGGTCAATGCATGATAAAACTAATATAAATATAAGCATATGAAAACAATCAACGATAAGAATTTTAAGGATGAAAAAGTGCTGCTTCGGGTGGACTTTAATGTTCCGATGAACGATCAAGGTATGGTAACCGATAATAGCCGAATATTGGGGGCTAAAGCATCTATTGATAAAATAATAAACGATGGTGGAAGCGTGATTATAATGACCCATATGGGCCGTCCAAAAGGCCAATTTAATATGGATTATTCTTTGAATAAAATACATTTAGCGGTTGAAAAAGCACTGGGTTATTCGATTATTATGGCCCAAGATGTGGTGGGTGAGGACGCTAAAGCCAAAGCCAATGCATTAAAACCTGGTGAATTGCTTATGTTGGAAAATTTACGTTTTGAATCGGGTGAAGAAAATGGCGATGATCATTTTACCAAGTCTTTGGCAGAACTTGGAACGGCTTATGTCAACGATGCTTTTGGTACAGCCCATAGAGCCCATGCTTCCACCACTTTAATTGCTCAATATTTTCCCAACAATAAATTTTTTGGTTTTTTAATAACCAAGGAATTGGAAGCCTTGGATAAGGTTTTAAAATCGGGAGAATCTCCAGTTACCGCCATTTTGGGTGGGGCTAAGGTGTCTACTAAAATTACCATCATCGAAAATATATTGCCCGCCATCGATCATTTGATTATTGGTGGGGGTATGATATTTACTTTTATTAAGGCTTTGGGCGGTCAAGTGGGAAATTCAATGGTTGAAGACGATAAATTAGAATTAGCCTTGGATATTTTAAACAAAGCCAAAAGCCATGAGGTTCAGGTGCATTTACCCGTGGATGTTTTGGTGGCAGACGCCTTTAGCAATGATGCCAATACTCAAATATGCGCCACCAAATCCATTCCCGATGGATGGATGGGCTTGGACATTGGTCCACAAGCCATTGAAAATTATGCACAAGTCATTAAATTATCCAAAACCATTCTTTGGAATGGTCCATTGGGCGTATTTGAAATGTCTAAATTTGCCCAAGGTACCATTCAAATGGGCCATGCCATTGATAATGCTACCCAATTGGGCGCTTTTTCATTGGTGGGTGGCGGCGATAGTGTGGCGGCGGTAAAACAATTTGGTTTTGAAAACAAAGTGAGTTATGTATCCACGGGTGGAGGGGCTATGTTGGAATCTTTAGAAGGCATTCAATTGCCTGGGGTTTCGGCCATTTTAAATTAATTTTATGAATGTACCTTATATCCATCAAGATTCTGATTTTGAATCCAAGATTCAACAGGTTCTTCCACAAATTGATCAATTAAAACGCTTCATCCATCGTAAAGTGATTGGTCAAAATGTTTTGATGGACGAATTGTTATTGGCGTTGTTTTGCAATGGTCATGTATTGTTGGAAGGGGTACCAGGATTGGCTAAAACGCTTATTATTAAAACTTTATCGGATGGTTTATCGGGTAAGTTTTCTCGAATTCAATTTACCCCCGATTTAATGCCTTCGGATATTATAGGCACTTTAATTTATGACCATTCTTCCAATCAATTTTTAACCCATAAGGGTCCCATTTTTGCTAATTTTGTTTTGGCGGATGAAATCAACCGTGCTCCAGCCAAGGTTCAATCGGCTTTATTGGAGGCTATGGAAGAAAAACAGGTGTCTATTGGAGACCATTCTTTTGGTTTGGATGCGCCATTTATGGTGATGGCCACTCAAAATCCATTGGATCAAGAGGGAACTTACTCTTTACCCGAAGCCCAATTGGATCGGTTTATGGTTAAAATTTTGGTCAATTATCCAACGCCTCAAGAGGAAAGAAAAATCATTGATTTACAATTTAATAAATCGTTGGACGATGGTACATCATTTAAACCATTGTCTCATAATGATTTATTTAATATTCAGTCTTGTGTTCGTTCGGTTTATATGGA